ATGACTGTAACCCACTGACCTTCCAATAAGTGCCTGTATTGAGTGAGGCTATGTCCTTGGAGCCATTCCTCAATCTGACTTTCTTTTCCTTTCTTCCAGCGCACTTCCCAGAAGAAGATCCACGACAAGGAGAAGAAGAGTAAGGTCAGGAAGAAGCGGCGGTCCATCAGACCATCTTTCAGCCTTCACTGAGACCCCTCCGAGCTCAAAGGAAAACTGCCACTCACCAGGGGGCTACTCAAGACTCCTACAATTGAAGATGAAATTGCTTAAGCTCAAAACAACTAGACCAAAATAAAGAACAAAACACTTTTCAACAACCTTGGTTAAACAGGTGGGAAATGATTAAGCCTAAGAGCTCCACACTAAACTGCTCTGCCAAAAAAAAGCATGAATATTTAAGTGTCACCTTGGAGAAGTGTTGGCTGATGGGAGAATAACATAACATGTAATCCACAGCACTGAAATATGCATGAAGAACTTGGCTAAAGGGTGGTCCTAACACTCTCATCAGCCTGTGTTTATCCAGGACGAGCTATCGAAGTCAAAGAAACAGAGTCAACTGCAGTCTCATTACACTCAATCCCCTCCAACAACAACAGCACAGGTGATGGGGATGGTACTGACAATGATGAGCTAGAAACGTGCTAGCTCAGGTGTCACAAACAACCGGATACCTAAAAAAAATAATAATAATAACCTTAACCACTCAGCTTAACTAAAGTTTACCGGACAGCTGCTTGAATAACGTTTCAAACCCAGTCAACACCGGGAGCGGAACATAAACGGGCTAGCTGTAACATCATCACTTATCGCTGGTGTACTGACAGCAGGGGCGCAAGGTAAAGCTGGAGGCTAACGCGAACTGTAAACATCATACTGACCGAACAACAGCGCGATGCTAACAGCTAGCCAAGTTAGCCAACAATGTCAGCGGTAATTTCAGAAAGCTTCGTCGCCAACCCGAGGCGGCTATCAACGGGCACAGCACAACGTGTTCACAAGACGCCGCTTGCAAGAGCACAACGACGCAAAGAGAAAACTGCAAATGTTAAAATGCCCTTAACAGATGCTATTAAACACAGCAGCAGCAGCAGCTACCTTCGTCTGTTAGCTTAGCAACCGGAAAATGCGCAGAAAGGGTGTCGATTTTTGATTACGTCACTGTGGATACACGAGGGGAAGGGGAGCTAACGAGACCTGTGCTCTTTACAACATGGTATGTAACCTCTAACTGTGTTACAGTGACACAGCTGTCCTGATAAGTGTTGTACGCTACATTAGGATATTGTGTCCATCGTTAATTTGGCGTTGACGGTTTTTTTTGGGGGGCAGGCAAGCCACTGAGCTAAGTTAGCTAGCCTAGCACCTTAACGTTAAGTGAGCTATTCCTACACGTACAGCTGCTGAAAGGAATACTCATCTTATATGTATATATATATATATATATATATATATATATATATATATATATATAGTTTACATTATTTACTGTAAAGACCTTAGTCACAATGTTTGTGAAATTCAGTCGTTAGTAGTTTACCTGAAGTTGCGACCACCTGTGTTTAGCTAATGAGTTTAGTGTTTGTTTTGTACTGTAACATTAGATATGTAAGTCAACTTCCTATCTAAAGAACGGCTTCAATAATGCCAGTAAAGTTCAGTTTTGTTTCTGTGTGGTTAACCTTTAACATTTTATTTAACATTGTGTTTAATCAATAGAGAGCTTGTCTTGTAAGGTGGTCTCAGCCCCTCCACTTACACAGGTCTACAATAGATACTGTTGGTTGTAATCAGTTGTGTGTGTGTTGTGTGTGTGTGTGTGTGTGTTGTAACTTGTTCACTCTAGGGGAAGCAGAAAACAAAGAAGTTTGCTGCAATGAAGAGAATGATTAATCTGAAAGATCACAGAATGTGAGTTTTAGTAATTGCTTTCTGTTTTTCTAACCAAAGTCACCCCCGATCTTATCCATTAGCTCTGTCCAGCCTTATACTCGCACTGATTCTCACATACAAATCAAACAAACCAAAATATTTAATAGTTACAATGGGAATCTTAAAGATCTGTGCAGGCACTCTAACTATCTGTTTGTTTTTGTAGAAAAGAGAAAGACCGTGCTAAAGGAAAGGAGAAAAAGAAGAAAGACCCCTCAGAGCTTAAGGAGAGAGAAGTGTAAGTTGGCCACACTTAGATTGAATGATAACTTATGTTGTATAGCTCCTTAACTTGATTTCTTCTTAATTATTGTGCAGGCTGAAACACCCATCATGCCTGTTCTTCCAGTACAACACTCAGCTTGGTCCACCATACCACATTCTAGTCGACACCAATTTCATCAACTTCTCCATCAAGGCCAAACTGGACATTGTTCAGTCTATGATGGATTGCCTGTATGCAAAATGTAAGTACCGTTGCCAAGTGGTTTGTAATAATGAGGATACTAAACCTTTTTTCAATCTAACTATTATATAGAACGACTCAGAATTAACATTTTCAATACATTTCAATTTTTTCCTGCACTTTCGTCCTATCCAGGTGTCCCACAGATCACAGACTGTGTCATGGCTGAGATTGAAAAGCTTGGAATGAAGTACAGAGTTGCACTCAGGTACAATCAGAATCAGAAATACTTTATTGATCCCCGGGGTGAAATTTTCTCATTACAGCTGCTCAAGGTGCTCACACGACATTAAAGAAAATAAATAATAATTATATTACAAAATCTAACAATATATCTAGAAATAGAAAAAAGAAAATAGAAATGTATATGAGGTACAATATGCTTAATATAATATGGCTGTGGGGACACAAACCTGTTCTATTATTATTCTGTTATCGTTATAATTACATTGTTGTTGTTGTTTTGTTTTTGCAGGATAGCCAAGGATCCGAGGTTTGAACGCCTGCCGTGCACCCATAAGGGAACATATGCCGATGACTGTTTAGTCCAAAGGGTAACACAGGTAATGTGCTTTAATGTACAGCTGTTGGTATACATACGTATAACAGAATGTCAGTGTTCACTTAAGGATGAATAGTAATGAACTTTTTTCCACAGGGGACATTTTGGATTGTTATAGCAGGAAAAGCCCAGGTGTAATTGATAAGATTTAAAACAACTGTATTCCATTAGGTGAGCTAGTTTAAGGGTTATGTGAATAATACAGAGGTGTATAGTATTGAAATACATAACAATTAAATATTACTATAAAAATAGAAGTGTTACAGATGATTGTGAGAACTATGAAGTCACGTAATGTCCTTGGTATTTACATTTCTAGGTTACTTGTACAGTAATTTATGTTTTACTTGTAGAAATGTGTCCAGAAAATGTATTTCTATTCATTGTATGCAGAGCTGATAAAATTATCATTCTCCTGCTGTCACTGTGCATGAAGGTGCACAACTTTGCAGCAAGCTCAACACACTTCTAATAAAGGTTGAGGACAAGCCAACAACAGCTTTTACTGGAAGTAATTGTAAAACTGTGAAAGTCAATGCTTTTCAAACCGTCACATTACATTGTCCTTCATTCTAGGAAGAAACAAAGCTATCAATAACAACACAGTAATTCATGCAATGCTTGTAAACATGCACACAGATTTAAAAAAAAAACAACTTAACAGTTAAGTTAAAGCAACACATTAACCCCAGACAGCTAGATAGTGTAATAACTAGATTGGTTAGTAGTAACTCAGTTAGTTACTGAACTAAACAGCTGTAATAACAAGGACATTTGGATAGCAGATTAAATATACTGATTAATAACTGCATGGCCACTGATTTGACAAAACAAATGTTTTGGATGTAACAATGTTGGTTAAACTGCTCTACAACCTACCTGGTGGCTGCTACTAGCAAAAGGACCACACAACTGACATGAACTTCTGGTGGCACAACGGTCATCATTTTGTTGTAGTTAAGGGTACATGTATGTCATGTAACACTGTAGTTTTGGCACTTAATTGCATATATGCATATATTTCCACAGCACAAGTGTTACATTCTGGCTACAGTGGACAGAGATCTAAAGAGAAGGGTCAGGAAGATCCCTGGGGTGCCCATCATGTACATCTCAAACCACAGGTAACACTGTTACACATTTATCTTTAAATATGTGACTTTATATGCCTTTCGTGTGTGTGCTTTTTTTGCATAAAATGCAACTATGCTGATTTTTATTTTTATTTCTTTATTCATATAGGTACAATATTGAACGGATGCCTGATGACTACGGTGCTCCAAGGTTTTAATATCTCTCCAACTGAGCTAGACCTGTAAATAGACTGAAGTTTCCTGTTTAAGATTGTTTTTCCTTTTATACATATCAGAAATATTGTGAGGGTTTAATGTTTGGTTTGGTAAAGATGGGATGTGTTTGATGAAACTGCAAATTACTTTAAGTTTTGTTCTTATAAAACATTGTGTTACAAGAATAAAGGAATTGTTGCACTGCACATCATCCTCAGTCTCCAGGTTTTTTTTCCCCCAGCACCCCAAATGTTACGTTTATGTGTAAAGATGCTGATTTAACATGGGAAACATAACCTAGGGACATATTTACACAGTTATATCTGTCTTCTTAATTCAGCTGTTTTGACTTTAGTTACAACGTAAATGTTAAACTAATGAAACATATACTTCTTCCTTCTACTACTTAAATTAATGACAAATGAAATATTAATGAAGTCAACTGTGACATGACTAGAGCAAGCTGGAATTTCAATTGATGGTAAAAACAATCTTTTGTCAATCTTTAAAACATTGATTGTAACTGTAGGATGTCTATTTTCATTCTTTTTTTTAAATAGTTTTCGTTTTATCTTTGAGAAATGACTGAAATAAATTTTTTTTTAATCCAAACACTATACTGTTGGATGAATACATTGAAACATGAGAAGACGAGTTGGCGTATCTGAGATTGGCACCTTCCGGGAAGCACCTGAATGCAGCATTTGTCACGGCTTAGATCATCCGCTAAGTAGGGAGCATGCGCAGTAGATGATGATCTGGGAGTGTCTGAGCGGCTCGTTGGACGTGAATCCAACCCGCAGTCACTGAGCCCAGGAGCATCTGCCTGAACAATGAGCCGGCTGACTGGGAAGGAAATGGTTTGAAACGGAGATGAAGCGGCCGTCTGAGGAGTGTCGAGGTGATGGGATTGGATTGTGCGGCAGCAGTGATTTGCGGGATACATGTGTGGTGTAAATGACCTCTAACGGTAACAGGGAATTAGTCATTTCTAATACTTTGTTGTCTGCAGAGTCAATCCGGTTTACGGCTGATAGCTTTACACTGGCGGGCTTGTGTTTGCTTTATGATGAACTTCCACAGTATCTGTCTTTAAAATAGGCTCCGCATCTAAAGGCTGAACCACCTTAGTGTCTTAGTTTATTGATTAACATGAATATGTGATCATTGAATGGCCTGTAGTCTACTACATCTAACCAAAGTGCTTTTTCCTTCTTTATTCTAAAAAGAGGATTTTTTTTGTTCTTCACCTTTTTAAATTATTGCTGCATCTCCAGCTGCTTCTACTACAGAGGTGAGTTTCAATCACAGCAGATCACCTTTAAGATATAAGACACCACAGCATTGACTTTTAGTTTTAAGAGACTGGTGGCGCCAGCTGCTGGGTGTCATGAGTTGGCCATCTGTTGTGGGAACCTACTTAAACCTGCAAGCAGATTAACCAGCAGAAAAAGGTCCAAGGCATCAGTCAGGACGTTCTGTGTGCCTGAACTCAGCTGGTCTTCCTGGTGGAGGAGGAGGAGAAGGAGGAGGAGAAGGGATGCTGAGGGCCACTGTGTGCTCGGTGCAGGAGAGAGACGAGGAGCAGGAGGATGAGGGTGAAGAAGAGCTGAGGGATGGAGGGGTGCCTTTCTACGTGAACAGAGGAGGCCTCCCGGTGGATGAGGAGACTTGGGAGAGGATGTGGCGCCATGTGGCTCGAATACACCCCAATGGTGAAGCTTTGGGGAAGGAGGTCCGGCGTGCCACTGACCTGCCCAAGGTAAAATGGTTGAATATGAAAAGCCGCGGCTGATTAAAGATGGCAGGAGTAAGCGGTGCACTTCACACTGTTCACAGTGAAGGCTTGTGAACAGTGGAGAAGCAATTTACACCCATGTGTTGTGGGGAAATGTTGAGTTACAGTGTTACTATGCTCTCCCACATTGCTGATAGAAATACAGAAAGCCATGTGCCACTGAACCAACCCCAAATACTCCACTATAAATGATTATTTTTCCTCAATAGTTATTTTTTCCAGTTTCATCACTGTAGTAAAACACAATGGTTGTTTTGTTTACAGCACATTTGCACCATACAGATGTTTTGGACACAGAAGAATGGTACTTTTCATTCATTCCTCATGAGGGTGGTTAAAGAGGCCATTAAGATAACTCTTGCTGTTAGTTATGCTGAATAGAGAAGAGCATAGAGGTCACAACAAGACGACATTCTCTGGCTGCAATGAATATTGGGATTGTGTAATGCTAATGCAGTTGTTTTGATGCTCCGTCCCACAGATTCCAATACCGAGTGTGCCTACATACCAACCTACTACGACTATCCCACAGCGCCTGGAAGCCATACAGAAATACATCAGGGAATTGCAGTATCCTTTGACTAAGTTGGTACAACTGGCTGGTTAGTAAAACATGCCATTCATAGTAGGGAAATATATTCTGCACACTGATATTACTAAAATGGATGAATGATGTAAATTAATGCTTACAAACTACCTTTTATTAATCCCAGTGACCCACTGTTTTGATAAATATGGTATAACAGTATAAACTAGGCCACTGTGGATACTGTATTCTATATTAAGCTTGATTTCCAGTCAGAGCAGAGATTCATCCATAATTAACCAACAACCTATGAATATCACAAAGAGCTTTAAGTGGTTGTCTGTCCTCCCCGCCGCATGCAGCAGAGTTTTCTCCCAAAAGCAGTGTCACATTGCTTCGTTACGGCGCGACCTTAACTGTGTCCTCCAGGTACAATCACACGGGAACACAGTTTTTTGAAATTAAGAAGAGCCGGCCTCTTACTGCGTAAGCACATTTGTTTCTTTTATCCGACTGATCATCAGAGATAGACTCACAGAGCTCTGTGGCAGCAGTCACAGGGATGTCAGCGTTGGCGTTTCTTATGATTTATTTTGTGCTGCTAAAGCCTGATGTGTGTGGATCAGCTCTGGTTCAACCCAGAGCTCTATGAGTACAAACAACAGCAAGCAGCGGAGGCCTGGAACACAGTTTTCCAGACCTCGCTTTATTAGATTTAGTTGCACAAATTTTATTTCGCTGGCTCATGGAAAATGTTTGTCTTTGTCTGCATTAAAATCAATAAGCGTGTACATCATTCATTTGTTGTGCACTCAGTAGTGCACTAGTGTCTTATACCACAGATACCCAGTAAAAGTGTCACTCTTTTGTTCAATTGTTCTGCACAGGTTGATGGATATTGCTAAAGAGATGACACGGGAGGCGCTGCCAATCAAATGCCTGGAGGCGGTGATCCTGGGGATGTATCCTTACAGCGGAAGATCATGTTGCATGATACTTAATATGTTTTAATATCTTAAAAGTTGTATTGTTGTACGTTTCATTGCAATGCCTGTAGGGACTGACTATAATAATGAGGCCTGGTGTGTTTTTTGGCAGACTTTTGTTGCTCGAGACTCGATTCGGAGATCAAATTTCCTTGACCCACCTTCGCACAGTTACCTCACCAACAGCATGCCGGGTGTTGAGCGTTTCCCCCTCAGCTTTCAGTCTCAGTTCTCAGGGAACCACTTCCACCATATCGTGCTGGGAGTTCACAGCGGGGGACGCTTTGGAGCGCTGGGCATCAGCCGGAGGGAGGACCTGATGTTCAAGCCCCTGGAGTTCCGGACTCTGATGGATTTGGTGCAAGAGTATGAAGGATCCTACAGGGGCTACTGGCACACGCTGCGCAAGGTCAGGATCGGCCAGTACGTGTCCCATGACCCGCACAGCGTAGAGCAGATAGAATGGAAACATTCGATACTAGATGTGGACAAACTGACCAAGGAGGAGCTACGCAAGGAGCTGGAGAGACACACTCGAGACATGAGGCTGAAGGTAGAGCACAGTGGTATCTGGGGCAAACAGCAATCAGGGAATGTGTTCTGTAGGGGAGTTTTCATAAACATTGTGAATGATCGCATTGCAGAAAAATTGCAATATAACCATAGCTTTTAGCTTTTTCTTACTGTTTCTTAATAAACTTTTCTTCTGTATTCAAAAGGTAAAATTTTGCATCATCTAGTGACTGACACCAGTATAAGCTGATGCTCTTGCGGCACTAAAGGAAACTGAATCTGTCCGTCCTTCCTAACTGCTTATTAGGTTTTCTGTTGACGTGCTGTGTCTTCACGCACAGTGACACAGGGTTGACCTGCTATTTGAGGAGCGATTTCTCTCAAACGATGCTCTCTCATCACCTCTCACGCTAACATAATGATGGCAGCCTTGATGCTGAGGTCTGTGTATAATAAAACTAATGCGATGGCTTGACTCTGCTCTGCGGTGCTTCATGCATGGCCGGCTCAATCCATCAATAGCTGATCTTTTACAGTGACATCATCACATTAAAACTACAGACAGATTTCAGCTGCTGACATTGGGCCTCTCTCCCTGTACAGGGAGGACATAAGCATAGTTAGCTTAGCCCAGTTGGTGTTTTTTAAAAATGATTGAAATTCTGCTGTGAATTGTTTTTGCAGATAGGAAAGCCTGCACCGCCCTCTCCCACCAAAGACAGGAGAAACAGCATGGGTTCTCCCCTCAGAGGACCAAGCAGCCCCATACGCAGGATCAGCCGTGTTGAGAGACGGTATGATAGTCATGTGCTTCAGATACTTGGTTATTCACTAAAAATACAGGCACCATGTCCACTGATGTGAAATGTTTTTACTCACTGGAAAAAAGTCTGACTGTAGATGTCTCATGATCTAAGGCAAAAGAGTCTGAATTAGTCACAGTTTCCTTCTTATATGAATAAAACTTATTGTCTAGTCTCATATTACTGTTTGTTTTGTTGCAGTCCCTCCGGAGAGAAGAAGGTTTTGGAGCAAAAGTCATCTGCAGACATGAATGGATACCAGATTCGAGTCTGAAGAATTTTAGCTTGCTTGTAAAGTTACAAGGTACCACACACTTGTTTCATGGGGCCATTGATTTACTCTTCATTCTTTGTACAACACATTGGCCTATTCACAGGATGCAATGTTGAATAGGTCACCAGCAACTTTTCGTCTCAAAACAAACGCCTCATTCAGCTTCCATGTGTATGAGGCGTTTACTGGAGCTCTACTGTGGATAGTAATTGGTGCTGGCAATGTTCCCAAATTATAAAAAGGGGTCAAATGTGCAGTACTTTGTAAAATATTTTTAAATAACTGCGCAGTTTTGCTTATTCAACACAACGAGAAATATGACTTCCCTGATGCTGGGCAGGACTACCACTCAGTGTAATTGTGCTACTGGACATATCATAGGTTTATGTGGTGTTACGTTCAACAGAAGCTCTTAAGGCTCGTCTGCAATCTGTATCGTCATACTGTGAGTGTGCAAATACATGTAATGTCATTTTAAATCCACTTAGGCTCTGCTGGGCAGCAACTGCTTGTGTAGTGACTAGTTTGCAAACCACTACCCTCGTGCCTTGTATGAAAATTCAAAGAGAAGAAAAATACTTTTTTTTTTATATATCCAACCCATTAGTCTCATTGCATAACTAAACACAAAGCAGTGTAATCTCTGCTCCTCCAAAATACTGAAAATGAACGAAATAAATGGAGTTTTTTGACATCTAATATCCAGATGCTAGCATGTTTGGTATGCTATTTACCTTATTGAGATGTTAAGTGAATATTGGATTGAATACACAATATACTAAAGTGTATTCAAGAGTATAAAGGCATCTGTTGAGTGATAATGAGGAACAGGAGAACCTTTCACATGAACCAAGACAATTATCAAGGTGACACATGGCAACGCAGCTGACTGACCTCGTCTGCATTTAATGTAGATGTAAATTAAAGACAAGTCAGTTTATATGTACTGTATAACTGCTTTATATATACATCGTTTCTAACTTTTATTTGTAGCAATTTTATCCAATATTTCACTTGCCTTAAGTGGTATCCAAGCAACTGACTTCCATTTGAGGTGTAAAGAAGTTTGTTTACAGCACTTTTATCTGCATTTTGTATTTTTTTAAATTGGAAATTCTGTCATTTTATACTTCCTTCAGTGTTGGTGATCACCAGTGGACCACGTAATATTTTCCACAACCTGTTTTAAATATGTTGCCACAGTCAACATTTTTATGTGTACAGTACTGTAGGTGTTGTCCATTTTCATTTCAGTGCTCTGTAACACAATTGTTTTGTAACAAAAGACTTGATTTACAGGATCACAATAAAGGCTCACTTGGATTGTGGCAACACTGTTTTCTTATTCAATTCTGCCATAATAGGAATTTCTTATAAATTAATGGGTATGCATTTAATCTTCTGGCCCTTTTTTAAGCAGTCTGCATCCAAAAAAAACTCCAGAAACTCAGCGGCTAATCAGTAGGTATGCTGTAATAAGTTGTCAGGCAGGGAATGGTGCCAGTTTTCCATCAACCAATAATTCAAACTGAGCACAGGGTGTCCTCAGTTGAAGGGCATCTTTTGGCATCAAGGCAAATGATGCGGGCAGACTCAGGAGATCTCTTAACACTAACCGTTTACACAAAGGAAACTTAACTCCAGCAACTCCATAAATGGGAAGCCTGTGTGCAGCAAAACACACAAGAATTTAAACACTCATTCTGACCAAGTGGGACAATTTCAACATGTAGATCTCATTATATCTATTAACTCCTCAATGCATCTGAAATAGAAAAACTATTTGGACAAAAGTAAGCCTGACACTGTTTCCAGTTATCATTCCATATGTATATTGTTTAGGTGTGGCCAGTGCTGCAGTCATATAAATAATAGCTGTAGTATGCATGTGTTCTCATGATCAGGGATCCTGCTGTTTAATGGATCCCCAAGTGAATCTCACCACACAGCCATCAGCTAATACGGTAAAATACCTTCATGTTATTTAAGAGTGACGTGATTTGTACAAGTAAGCTCCTTAAAACAAATGGTTTGTAAATGTTGTGGAAGTTGCCTTGGTGAATTATGAAGAGATAAAAGTCATGATAAACAAATCCCTATCCTCCCATCCAGGGGATTCCAGATGTCAAACACTTTGTCCACCAGCGTTTGTAAGATATAAACAGAAGACATAATGACCTATATGGGGGGGGGGGGGACCTACTGACCTACTTAGCATGCATTTAATGCCACATGGTAAGTGAAGACACACACAATCCGATTCCTCTATACACTATAAGTCTTTAACTTATGGATGATGGTATTGTATGGCAAATATATTTACATAGTACTGTCAAGAAGTGTGGAGCGAGTGAAAGACGTCCTACTGATGGGACTCACCTTCGCAAATATTTTACAGTCCACACAAACACAAAGCTCTCTCACTGCGCTCCATCATGCATGAACACTCAACTATCTACATGAATTATTCATTCATGCATCAACCAGACACACCCACATACATCTTCGCCCTGACAGAGTACCTCAGTGTTTGTGAGATGGGGGGGAGGGAGCAAACGCCCGGGTCACAATCTCAACGCTAGACCAAGCAGGGTACACACAAAGCCAGACACCAACTGGGGGATTTACTGCTGGTGGATGCATTTAACTACTACATTATAAATCCAGGAAATAACTACACACTCTGAGGCCTGGAGGCAGACTTTGTGCTTTCTGTAATGTGTTAAAGAGCAAAAAGCACAAAAGGAGCCACAAATTAATGGAAAATATTTATTCAATATTTTTTGCCGTATGAAAAAATAGAACCGACTTATAATCAGAGATATTTAATTCTCATTTGAAAATAAATTAAAATGTGACTTGCTGTAAACAGCAAAATGAACAGGTCGGTGTATTATCACACCAATAAGAGTTAAAGCAATAACTTTCTTCATTTTTTCAATCAACTATTACATCATCAATATTAATAAGATTTGTCACATCTCAGCCATAGCTCTGCATTATAAAAAAACATGTGGAACAAGACTTAATATTGGCATCCATTATTTTTCCTGACTCTTTTGAACAGAAATATTAACTTCTATTAAGTTAGAAAATGATGATCCTGTGATGCCAGGAGTGAACTACGAGTAATGGTATTCATACTAACAAAAACAAAATGTGTACAGAGCAAGACCTGAATCATTTGAATGAAAATATGCTTATCCTCCGACATCTCTTTGAGTTCACCCAGTCTTTTCCATCATGCAGCATTCAGGTCCAGCTGGAATTTGGCCAGAAGACTGAGATGGTCAGAGGGGAATATGTGATTGGGAAGGCCCCTCATTGACCACACAACATCCTCCGATAGGAGGGAGAGAGAAGCAATCAGCTTCAGACCCTTACTCTCAAAGTCACCACAAGCTGAGAAATAAAACAACAAATAAGTTCTCTACAGTAGCAAATTAATTTAGAGACTTTGTGTCATGTCCTCATACCTTTTTGATCAGCGGTTAAGTGGTAGCGTCTTGGAGTGTAGAAGATGTAGTCGACAGTAGCTCCCACTTCAGAGTGCAGGGTCGTGACTTCTGGATTTCCAGAGCCTGGAAGGATGTGTGTGTAGACAGACTCCAGGTCTAACTGGTGACTGATAGTGGGTCTGAAACTAAGATACAATTTATGACAAAAAAAAGTCACATCTCAATTCCACCTAACAGCACCTATATCTTGTTGTTTTGCACCACACACATTTACCCTGGGTCATAGGTGACAAGCCAGATAGTTGACTCTGAATCATGATGCTAAACTGACCTTTTATCATAAGGCTGATTTTCCCTTGAAGCATCTGTACATAAAAAGACACATGACCCAGATATTCAAACCAATATGGTATGAAAATCAGATAATCATGTAAATGGTAGAATGGTAATAAATGATGTTGACTGTACCTGGTGTGTTGTCAGTCACACCTGGGATCAGCTCTAAGTCCAGAGGACGGACACATGTAGCTGGACAGAACCGCAGCTGCAGCAGGAAGTCATGGCTGTACTGATATTTCCCTGCACAAGAAGAACAAATGTAGGATAGGAAGTGAAGACAGGGAGAGGAAATGAAACAAAGAAGACAAAAATAACAGTAGGTACAAAGCATGCAACGGCTTCAAACACTGACCTGGTTTCTGACTCTGGCTCTCAAATGTCTCCTTGGCAGTCGTGTACTGGCAGTTGTCAGTGATTCCCAGACAGCTGGGCCACAGGGGAGCAAAAAGCCTGTGACCATAAACTCTGTGTGACATGTCCTCTTGACCAGATATCTGTTGGACAAGGATGTAACGTACATGGGTACATAAGTAATTCCTGCAAGCATCATGGCAGAAAAGCATCATCTCAGAGAAGCTAGATATATTTGCAGGCACTGATTATACTCACCATCCACGCTGGTAGACCCTGGAAGTAAAGCTCACCGGTGGTGATCAGCTGGTACAGAGGCATGTGGGGAACAGTGTTAAAGTCCCCACACAAAATAAGATTACAGTGTTCGCCTTTGGCCTTACAGGACTTGACCACGCTGTCAATTTCTGCCAGCATTATAGCTAGCTGAGCCAGCTTCACATCGCCCCTCCTGGGGTTGAACAGGAGATGAGTGTTGGCCACGCAGAGGGGTGGGCCCTTCGCTTTGACCTCTGACCCCCGGGTGACCACTGGCTGAAGCAACACAACAATGCCTACGTTGTGCCGGTCCAGCAGCTCCGTCTCAGGCCTGAAGAACTCCAGTGTGGTGACTGATATCTCAGAGAAGCAACTGCTACGATAGCAAGTAGCACAGCCGTCTGTCTTGGTCCCTGTGCGACGCTTGTACACACAGGTGTAGCCTGGAGCGACAACATGAAGACAATATATGTAATGTCTTGTCATAATATCCTCCAACATGACTGTTCCACTGTACTGTCTCCAACAACCTACCCATCTGAGACAGGAACGGAAACAGTTGTTCGTGGTAGTGGTTCTCCTGAACCTCTTGGAGACACAGAATCTACACACAGGATATAAGCAACTCATTAATGGACAATTTAAATTTCAGGGGTAAAAAAAGGCGAATCTGACTCACATCTGGAGCCCATTTCCGTATTTCCTCCAGTAATAGGCTGCACCGGTAGCTCCAGTCAAGCACCTCCAGGGGGCAGTGTATGTACAGCTCCTGGTTGGCCTCTAGTAGGTCCTGTGCAAGGATGTTGTAGGACATAACAGTGAAGTCCATCCAAGGCTTTGTGAATGGGAGAGGTATCAGGGCTGCAGAGGCACTCTCATCCACCTCCACCCATACTCTCCACATTACTGGGTGGAAAACAAACGCATACATACAATTCTATGCAACAGATGGGTATTAAATCATTGGTGAGTTTAGACAAATCTGTGAAAAAAAAATAAGATCCTCACCTTCAAATGGCACCGTCAGCTCTATTGGAGGGTAATAGCTCACTGCTGGAAACTGCCCCAGTAGGCACTGCACTTCTTCTGCCAGACCAGGTCCTGCAGGAAAGTGCCAGCCAGTTTGCATAGCATGTTCCCCGCTGAGTTTAAGGCGGGTGTCAGAGAGGAGGGAGGTAAATATTAGGTTAGAGCTTTCCCCACAATGCATTTCATCAGCAGCAGGAGCTATATATTCATCCCAGCACTCAGTTACTTCAGCTGTAAATTCAGCTGGAGTTATTGACTCTTCAATGCTCGGTATCTGTGTTTGTTCCCATACTGGACTGGTGGTTTCTTGTATGCTGGGCTCAGCAAGAGTTACTGACTCTTCTAGGCTTGGTATCGCTACTTTTTTCTGCACTGGACAGGTGGTTTGAGGTGGTTGAGTACTGTCATCTGTTTGCAGGCACTCTAAATGTGCCCTAAGTTCTTGCTCTGGGTTAATGTCCTCGTTTGGAAAAATACTTCCACCCTCTGTGTTTTGAAATGTTATTTCCTTTTCCTCTTGCTTGGGAGCTTCCACTTTGTCTTGTTGTGGCCCATTTCTGGTTTCTGCTTCCTGCTCCATCACCGCAGGTTGCACCTCACTCGTCTTTGAAGCGGCCTCATCCTGTGCTTCTTCATGCAGGACAGCCATCAGCTGTTCTTTGTCCGTGTCAGGTCTCATATGGTCTTCCTCTTCTGGGCTTGGTTCTTTCATCCTTTCTTTCGTTTCTCCCTTAGTCCCGCTGCTTGGGCTGAGCCACTGGTCCAGCAGGGTTGTCTGAGACTGGGTGAACTTTCTGGTTGTAACAGCACCACCATCCCACACTGCCGTGCCATTAACCACTTCAGGAGGGAGATCCTTCTTTGATGCCTCTGCAAAACAAGATTAATGTCAGGAAACAGTGATGCGTTTATACTAAACTGAATCATTAAGCCTGTGTAGCTAACTTTGCCAATGTTTATGACAACCAGTGTTCAATCCAACATATAAAACTTGTCTTACTGCACACAAACGACAGAGCAAAGCAATCACAGGTGGTGACGTCCTGACGTCATTAGACACGTGAAAAAAGTGGAGCTAAAAAAAAACAAAACAAACAAACAGGTGGAAGCTAACGCGTTACCACGAGCTAACGTTAGCTAAAGTGCACTCTCACACTGGAGAACAATGAGGAACGTGTCGTACCGAGCTTGTAATGAAATACAAGTTTAAGTCAACAACCAAACGCTGGCGCCACGGCTGTCAAGACTAACTGCTCAGTCAGCAGCGACCCACATTTAACATTAGCAGCCGTTAGCCCCCAGACACTAAGGTCAAACGCACACATACTTTTTCAAAGGTTGCTCAGTCGACACGACACGTTTGCAACACTTACTTGAGGCTCGACTGATCAGGTACCGTGATAACGGGTACAGCGCGTAAAACAACACACTGCCAATCATGTTTCTCTACCATAATCAGCGCATGCGCTTTCTGAAGTGCGTGTGAGACGTTATGGGTCAAGTTAAATGTCAGTGGTGTCGTTTCCTCGTCCTCATGGATGTGTTTTTGTTTTTTAAATGTTGTCTTAATCTGATTAAAAAAAACAAAAAACATTTAGCATTCTATAAAATAAGATAATATGAAAATGGTCAAAAGTGTATAAAAGTGTTAAACTATAATTTCACTACTATGTCATGCTGTACTTATAGTGTTTATCTTGGAGTTAATAAAACACATGATTGTAACCACGCTGGGCCATAAATTGTTAATATCCCTGCACATGACATGTTACCTGCAGGGTAGAATTACCTGCTGGACAGCCCAGGCCTATTTCATTTCACAGTGCTAGCCCTTACAGAACACACAGGAATAAATGAACAAATAACCCTGAAAACTGTATTCATTTTGTGTTAGGGAAATGGTTTCAAACAGGACATAGACTCTGACAGCAGGCAGCAATGTCGACACTGTCTTTTGAGTCCCTCTGCTTAAAAGACGATGATTGTCCTTCCCCTATTCAACCCCAAGGCACGGAGGATGAGTTTGACACAGACTTGGAGTGGGATGGTAAGTAAATAAAGTTAATTCTTGGTATAAGCTATTGTGCTGCTCTTTCTGTAAAGCTGTACATTCGTACTGTTAATTCATTATTGCTGTTACACGGTTGCTGTGACAGATACATCCATTACTTTATGTACAGACAAGGGCTCATATAGTAGTACTCATGCTGTATGGGTTGACCCATTTCCAGAAAAAGAGGAGAGCAAGAAGCAGACATCTATATCTGAACTGTACCTCCAGGCCTGCAGGCTGGTGGGTGTGGTGCCAGTCTCCTACTTTATACGAAACCTTGACTCCACAACCATGACCCTCAGCCACCATGGGCTAGGACCTTTGGGGTGCAAGGCACTTGCCATTGCTTTAGTGGTAAGTTTAAAATGCAAGTGTCATTGAGTGTGACTTTTTAAAATAGAACATTTCTGACAAGCTCTTTGTATTTAGTCTGATATGCATATCAACACTCTGGAAGTGGCAGACAATAACATTCAAGCTGAGGGAGCAAAATACCTTGTGGAGATGTTGAGGGCAAATTTCACCATCCAGCACCTGGTATGTTGAACCGCCAGTAGAGGGCACAAGTGCCTTTCAGGTGATATTTTACTTTTGACCTTTACAGTGTAGTAAACAGTATACTGTACCAGCATCTGTTTTGCTTTCAGGATTTGTCCAACAACTATCTGCAGTCTGCAGGAGCTGAGTGTGTGGCTAAAATCTTGCTGGACAACATTTCCTTAAAATCTATGAAACTTTCAGGTAATGAGCACATTAACAGCAACTGTACTGATAGTTGGGGGATACAAACCAACACAACCATTTCAAGCATCCATAATCAAGACAGTGAATCTCAACTAGCTCATGGTGCCTGTCAAGGTTGTGATCAAGATCAGTGAATTTAACAACAGCAGTAATTAGATTATTATTTTGTATATTTAAACATTTAATATTTCGTCCCTACAGGAAATGGATTTACAGATGATGATGCAAAATATTTTGCAGATGCTTTGTCGGTAAGTGATTAATGATCAGTTATCTAAACACATTTTAGTTGTGGTTTGTTATTAGGTAATGAATATTTGATTTCTTTTGCAATTATAATGTTGCTAACATGTTTACATTTAGACCAATTCCAGAATAAAGGAACTAGACCTGAGCCATAATGAGTTTTGTGGAAAAGGAGGGGAACATTTGGGCCAACTTCTGGGTACAGTAAAATATTTGTAGATGTGCCCAAATACACTGCTTTACTTGATGAACCAAGAAAAACACAAACACGAGAGCCTAGTCTTTTTCTCTGATTTTACCTTCCATGTCTATAGCAAACAATGAGGGTCTTGAGATGCTGGATCTTAGCTGGAACCATCTTAGAATGAAAGGGGCTGTGGCTTTTTGTGCCGGACTCAAGGTGTGTACTGTATAAGGAATTCATTTGTTCACTGGCTTGGTATATTCAACATCTGATCACATTCTCCACATTTAGGTGAATATGATGTTAAAACACCTCGACTTGTCATGGAACGGTTTTGGGAATGAGGGCGCCCTGGCCATGGGAGAGGCCCTAAAATTCAACAATACCCTGGTGCACCTCAACCTCAACAACAACCGCCTCACCAATGAGGGTGTAGGCATGCTGTGCAGGGGTCTTGAGTTCAATGACACACTCCGAGTCCTGCTGGTGGGTAGATGAGGTTATGTTACCCTAATATACATCATCAATATGGCTACAGATACATTTATTTTAAGGTGATGTTTTATTCTCTTCCACTCCTGTAGCTGGCTTACAATTCTTTAACAGTAGAGGGCGCTCTGGCCCTGGTTAATGTGGTGAAGAACACACCTAAAACTGCCTTGGAGGAGATCAACATATGTGTGAGTTACTGTGGCACTGTCTCATCAAATCATACCTGTCACTATGAAATGAAGTACAATTAATACACTATTAAGCTACTAAGTCATACCATCTGGTCTCCACCATCATAATTCTTTTCCCGCTTTACCAAGCAGAATGTGCTGGTAAATGAGACCTTTGTGCACCTCTTGGAGGTGACATGTCAGGAGCATCCTGGGCTGGATGTACAGTATGGAGGTGTAGGAGGCTTCATTGCTAAGAAGCCACCAAAACGTGTTGATCCAATGAAAGTCATCCAGGTCTGTTTGATCACATAATGAGAATCAGTAGTCCTAAAAGTCTGAAATGAATGGTTACATTCCACCATTTTGTATGAAAATGTTCATATTCATGTAAATATTTACTCACATATTACTTTAGTAAGACAGTCAAATGGTTCTTTCATTGTTTGGTTCAGCATGAATTTCATAAATGTCTTCTCCCAATGTTTTTAAAGGATTATTTGGATCAACGCAAGCTACGCCTGTGGGATTTCTTTCGGAACATTGACAAAGATGGCACCATGCGAGTCCCTGTTGCTGACTTCAGGAAGGCAGTGCAGGTTTCCAAATGCATTCAAATATTGACCTGTGCAGAGTCAGTGACATTTGCAGGACATACTGCACTGATGAATTTCACTGATAGAATACCATGAAATTGTCTTCTCATGCCCGATGAGCTCTCTCCTAGTCTACACTGACTTTTTCCTTCTGCTCTGTGAAACTATGATAGCAATCAAGTATTCCTTTGGATCGATACCAGATTGAGGAGCTCATTCATAGACTTGATCGCGACAGGACAGGAATGGTAGACTACAGGTGAGCATGTCTCCTACTGTTTGCTCATAGTCACAGATGGGCCTTCTAAAATGCTTCACAGAGTTGGCCTGTGATTTGTTAAGGTTTCTTATTGCAAAACATTGAGTAATGGTGTTTGTTTTACACAATGCTTTATCATTGTTTGAATGATGGCATAGTTAAACCATGTGTTTTAGTTAAGAGCTGGGAATTTGTCCAGATCTTCACCTTGAATGATGTTGTAAATGAGTGAATGTTTGTTTATGGCCCAGAGAGGAGCCTGTAGTAAATAGGTTGCAGTCCTGAAGTTTGGCTCTACAAAGCAGCTTTACATGGAGTTATCTGATGTTTCTTTGCAGGGGACTTGCAGACACAAGGAAACAGATGATGAGGGATCACCGTCGCCAGCTGAGGAAGGTTGAGTCCCGTCAGAAGAAAGAGAAGCAGAAGAGTGACCGCATCCTCAAGACCTTCCAGAGTGCTGTGGAGGCGGTAACACCGCGCAGCTCCATGGTCATATCTCCAGGAGGAGCCAAAGAGGATTCAAGTGGCCCTCAGCACTTCTCTGCCACCCCTCTAAGTTCATGGCACCACATTGTCATGTCCAACAGCAGTCGCTATTCTGTCACTAATATGAGCAATGAACATGTCCACCTGCCCATGTTAGGAGGCACCACACCTTACCGTCCCACCAGTTCCCCAGCTATGCGCTCCTACTCCCAGCCAAACCTGCTGGATGACTCCCCTTGCTCTGCTCCAGGCAAATCCATTTCTGCCCAGGGTATACACTCCGATCCAGAGATGGGCCACAGCAAGCTAAGCCCCACTGCTAACCACCTGACCCGGTCCAGACCTGCTCTTAATGCCAAGCAGCCAGAGGTTAAAGCCAAAACCAAGAAAGTAAAGAAAAAGAAAACTGCAAAACGCGTGGATAAAGGCTCAAAGAATTCTACGCAAACTGTCAAGTGACTGTCAAACTTTGTAATGCTATAAAATGTTATGATTCTTTTTGACATTGTTGGCTTCTTTGTTACACGGTTACTTAATAAAGATGCATTTTGATTATGTATCTTGCTTCTAATCTCTCACTTATGTGCATCAGCATTTGTCTCCTAATCAACAATTCATTCAGTTTGCTACTGAATGAGATGTCCCATCTGGGGAAACAAAACATTTCATAACACCTAGGAACTCTGTCAGATAGTAGACCCACCCATCGTCATTTTATGAATTCTGATCCATACCTAAACATTGAAAGATCATTTCAAACAAACGTCAGAGTATTTCATTTCTGTTTGCTGACATTAAGTATTATATCTTGGTATGTGCCTTTGCTAACAATGCTGTGAACTAGGACAGGTGCTGCAACCTGCAAGATGTTGGAAGTGGCTATATAAGCCCCTAAAGATTGAGCTATCTCAGTCATTAACCCTGACTGCGGCAGAATGATCTGCACTCTGTATTTCTTAGCACTACTGAGCTCCACGATGGCCTGGGGGGTATGTATGGCATGACTTAGATCTACTGATAAATCTTTATTCCTTGAGGCTCTTCCTACATTAAAGGTAAGCTGATATGTTCATGTGAACCTTTGTTTTTCAGCGAGTAGGCCTGTGGAGCGAGGGGAGGAATGAGACAGGAGGTGGAAGTGGGGACAGGTGCACTTGTGATGCCTTCTTGCCAAGCTCTACCTTTCCTATCAAAGACCTGGTGGTGGTAGAGCAGACAGTTGTGGAGATCTCACACAAACTGGAGCTGGAGATGGGCAAGGTACTCAGGCATATTAAAGGCATGCTCAATAGGCGATGACATATTGAGCATATATTTTGACAGACCAAAAAATGTGTAAAATATATTTATTTTTTCAGCTGGAAGACTACGAGACCAAGCTGACAGCCTATGCAGAAAAGATAATAAAGCTGACAGTAGAAATTGAAAAAATGGAGAAGAATCCTGATGCTTACAATGATGCCGACAAGGATGAGGTGAAGGTGGAGATTAAACAAGTGGAAGCTCTGATTAAAGAGCTGCAGCTCTCCATCAATGGCTCCACCACTGTCTTTAAGTCTCTGCACGTACAGGTAAGTCCTGCTGATGGCAGTCGCCATATGAGTCAGATAGACATAATGCCAATCCACTGGCAAACACGTGTTTTCCCTCTCAGATCACAGCCATGGTGGTCACCCTGAACAGGCTGGAGAAGACCTACGACAAGAATGTGGTTCTGGTGACGCGGCGGGAGTACATCAAAGTGCAGCTGCAACTAGAGGAGTGCGAGAGACGCCACCAGGAGCTTTTCAACCCCAACATTGGTAAGTTTATTCACACTAATAGCCACATCTAAATGTAAGCCCCATTTGGAGTCATTTAACTAACCTTTCCTCTCTCTCTGCAGGGTCTTGTGCACATACAGGTATCATCAAGATCAGCAAACCCATTGTAAGCCAACTGAATGCTCACCTTAATGCTGGCTACAAATATGGAGGCTGGGGAAAAGATTCAAAGCCTCTTCCCGACAGAGAATCTATGTATTGGTACTCTGGGTACACTAGTGGCTCCATTGTTGACATTAGGTTCTACACTAACTACAAGAACCTCATTTTGAGAAACCAGTTCCAGCATTACAACTTACACAGCAGCTGGTATGGTACAGGGAACAATTTCATCATCCGTGACAACACTCTATATTATCAGATCAAAAACCCGTTTGGGTTGGCCAAACTGAATTTCACCACCATGAAATATGAGTCCAGGGTAATTCCTAGGGCTAGCAGCAGATTCTCCTACACTAACTCTCCCAATCAGAATTTTGACTTTGCTGCTGATGAAACCGGCCTGTGGGTGACCTATGCTACAGAGGTGTCCGGTGGCCGGATGGTCATTGCTAAAATAGACGAGCCTTCTTTTGGGGTTGTGGAGGAATGGCAGACTAGTGTCTATAAACCAGGTGTGAGCAATGCTTTCATGGTGTGTGGCGTTCTGTATGCTGTCAGAACAGTTGACATTCAAACGGAAGAGATATTTTATAAGTATGACACCAAAACCAAGCAGGAGCGCTACATTAGTGTTCCCTTTGAGAGGTTCCAGGATAAGTTTTCCAACCTGGACTATAATCCCACTGACCAGAAGCTCTACATGTACAATGACGGCTACTATGTTAACTACCATCTGTGGTTTAACCACACAGCTAAAGCCACTGTGGAACCACCATTTGCCCTGATCTAAATCATTATCTGTGTCTCCAGTTTTATGAATGAAGCAATCATTATCTTTCTTTCTCTCTTTTCCTTCTCCTTGATCACTAATAAATGATCTTGAGCATTACAAAAAAGTGTCGAGTGTGTTCTTGTGCAAATTCTCATAAAAAGAGTGCATTATTTTCTATATGACTAATTTCTAATGAGAGTACAGATACTATTAATTCACCTCACTACTTTAACCCATTAATTCTAGTGCCTGACACACCCCACTACTTATGGTTTATTTACATTTGTAATAGTTTCTGACATTGAAAGGAAGTATACATGCAGAACTGGATTCTGATTTATAATGAAAAAAATACACTTTAAAGGCCTGTTTTCCCATTTCCTTGATCTAAACATGCCTAGTAGGTCCCTTAGACATCCACACAAAAGGAGGAATGTATTGCCATATTATATGAGCAATTATGCATGTTATGTACATGACATTAGATTGGAAATGTTGCATTGCAGGATCAATTGAGCAATTTCTGGATGTAGAAAAGCTGACGCTAGTCTACATTGCTGGCTTAAAAATGCACAAAAGATGTCGAATATTTTAAGATTAGTTTAAAAGATAATGCTAAACAGAATTTAATTTGTATAAAATAGCAGCTGATGGTGGATGAATAATGTCTGGAAGCTAAACTGAATTTCTGTTGGTTCTGTTGTTTGTGTGAGAACCTTTCTCAATAGGCTACAGAAATCTAATATCAAATTTTCTTCATCGGATTTGTGAATAAAAAATATATCCTAAAAAACCTAAAAAATGAAAATGTCATGGATGTATTACGTAGCACATGTGGTGTGTTTGCTCATCTATATCCCACAAGTAAAACAAATAAATACCCTGTAGTACCACTGGGTAGTTCTACGCCTAAAGTCAGCTCTGCTCTTCTCTCCACTGCTGCTGCATGTTGATCCCGCTCTCCCTGGTCGAGGTACTCTATGTGGCATGTGCTAAGTTTTGACAATATCATTTTGTTTTTGTAAACATTGTATTCTTAGAATCTTAAGTCTCAAGTCTTAAAATATATTCCTGACCGACATCCCAAAAACCATTTAGTGAACTCTCAGAGAGGGAGAAGACTGCAGTGAACTAGCAGAAATACTATACATAAACTGATTGTTAATTTAGGTGTTGTAGTCTGCATTAATTTACTTTCATTTCATGATCAAATCGAAGACTTATTTCCATTGTAGAGTGGGATGTACATTTTCTGCCCTTCTTCTATGTCTGCAACAGTAATGTTGTCAAGCCTGCATACAGCCTGTGGTACTACCCAGATAGACGGATGACAAATTAAAAGAAAAACTAAATAAAGTGTCTTAGTAAAATGTTGGGCTATTACATGCTGCCAGAATGGCTTCAATGCACCTTGGCATAAATTCTTCATATCTGAAGTGTACCGGAGATATTCTACCATAGCTGTTCAAGCACTTGTCACATACAAAAAGTACATGGTGTTAGTTACATGTAAGAGTCCCAGTAAGATGTTCCAGTGAGTAAGCTATTGTGAAAAAGGCCTGTTGAGTTCTAGTGACTGTGAACCACAGCATGTATAATTCGCAGAATTTTCATACTCATCAAACTATTTAGTGACCTCTCATGCGCTGTATGGAAGCAACTGCATTCATCCTGTGTCTTAATTAGTAGATTTGTCACCTGCACATTTAGACACAGACTAAACTTCTCAATTACATCATATTTTAACTCCTTTGTTAATTCAAATGGAAACCATAAAAACTTGTTTGATTCCAGATTCAGTTTTTAATGTTTGTTTTACATAGCAGAGGTTCAATTTTACAATTTCATGTCTACAACTGTCATACCTGCAAATCTTTCTCTCTACAAGTGTATCTTTCCTTTAAGTATTGCTACTGAAGTGAGTAAAAATTGGACATGTAGTGCATTGTGATTTCCTGCAGTTTGAGTCAGCATTTCCCTCAAAAGCTTTTCCTCTGTGGCACAATATCTTCTTCTGGTGAACCACCAGTCAAAAGCACAACCCAAATCACATGCATAAGATTATGCAATTAACCATGTGTATGAGGAAGCAATACAAAGAAGCAATTTGATCCTTTCATTTACAATACAGTGAGAACTGACCTCTAAGATAATTACTATACAAACAAATATGATCTGTCTATTTGGATTAGATTAAATATAATTAAATTATACACCCTGAAACAATGTCTGCCTGTGAATGTGATGACCTTTTTCTACTGTATAACACGTGCAACGCTCAGCTAACAGGCCATAAACGTACCAAGGTGCTGCCAGAATCCACTACATATGGCATTTTTCTCATCCACATCCCATGCTCAGATCAAACCTGACGTGGTAGCAAACAAGGACAATGCCTATCATAAACTAATAACTTTGGGAAGAAAAAAGCTGGCTGTGATGATGTGATAAGAATTGTCTTTAAAACCCCTATGACCAGGCCACCAAGAAGACACTTGAAAGGTAACCCGAGACACGATGCTGCCAATTCTGCTGTTGCTTCTTTCAGCCCTTAGCCCTGCTTTGGCCTGGATTGTAAGTGACACTCATTTTCTGTTAAAACATGCAGGTGGTTATAATCAACTTTAATGATGGTATTTTTTTTCAGCCAGTGGAGGACTGGGAGTCTGGTAATGTGACTGCATCAGTGGGTGAGTCAGGTCAGTGTGTTTGTCATGTGTATCTGCCTGAAACCACCTTCCCTGCCGACCGGGTTGAGCACATGCAACAAGTCAGCAAGGATCTAATCCTGGAAGTGGAAATTCAAATGAACAAGGTGCAGTAACATATTAAGACTTTTAAATCCTGATTGTTCCACAGCATTTATACATTAAAATATAGATTTTGATTTTTCACTCTTTCAGATAGTGAGCTATGAGGGTAAGTTGGAGGTCTACTTGAAAGATCTTAAGGACCTGACGGTGAGAGTGGCCATGCTGGAGAGCAGTGCCGACAATTACATCAAACTGGACTTTGAGCTGCTCAGGATTGAGCTCAGAGAGTTTGAGGCTCTGGTGTCTCAGCTCAAAGACTCCCTCAATTCCTCCTTGCCCCTGTTTGACAGTCTGTATATTGAGGTAAAAGAGACATTGTTTTAACCTACCTGCAAATGGCATGGCTTTCTTCATAATCAGAATATCAGATTTAAATTTGATTCATGTGTTTATTCCCAGATCCGCAACATGACTCTCATTGTGAACCAACTGGAGACTTATGACAAGAGCAACCTGGAAGTGATCCGTATTGAGTTCGCCAAGCTGCAGAAGAAGCTGGAGGAGTGCCAGAAGGAGCAGGAGTTCATCAAGCCAGATATTGGTAAGACAACAAGTCAGAAGATTGTGGACAATGGTTAAAAATCCGATTTTGCCAGCCAAAGTCAACATTTTTCTTTTCTTTCCAGGCAACTGCAATCACACAGGAATCATGAGCATCAGCAAGCCAATGGTGGTCCAACTGAATGCTCATTTGAATGCCGGTTTTCAGTATGGGGGTTGGGGTAAAGACTCCAAACCTGTGAGAGGCTATGAATCAATGTACTTCTATGGTGCATACAGCGGTCCGTATGTGTATGACTTCTATTTGTACTCTAACTATGAAAACCTCATTCTGAGGTCCGCATTCAAAACCCATGACTTACCAAACGGGTGGGAGGGTACCGGAAACAATTACATTGTTCACGGTAACACCATATATTACCAGCACAACACACCTTTGAGTATGACCAAACTGAATCTGACCAGTTCCAAATATGACTACAGAGTGATCTCATCTGCTAGCACAAAATTCTCATACAGTTACTCAGGTAATCAGAACATTGACTTTGCAGCTGATGAAAATGGTTTGTGGGTAATGTATGCTTCAGAGGAGAGCAAAGGCAAAATCATCCTTGCTAAAGTAGATGAGAAATCTTTTGGCATCGAGGATGAGTGGAACACTGGTGTGTTCAAGCAGTTAGCTGGCAATGCTTTCATGACATGTGGAGTCATGTATGCCACCAGGTCAGTGGATCTGACCACAGAAGAGATCTTTTATGCGTTCGACACTAAGACCGGGGAGGAGAGACACCTCAACATTCCCTTCCAGAAGTTCCAAGAGAAATACACAAACCTGGACTACAATCCCACTGACCAGAAGCTCTACATGTACAACAATGGCTACTATGTGTCCTACAATGTGAGGTTTGACAAAGAATGATCCCTCCTCTTTTTGATCTACTGTATTGTGATTGATATGATTAATCTGTATCTACTCACTTTGTCACTGGAGCTCTATAAGGCTATGTACTGTAACACATAGACCTTTAAACTGTATTTTCCAGAATAAAATCAAACTGAAGCATTCAAAATGTGTTTTTTAATTAACTTTTCATGCAAATAAATAATACTATTACAAAATTACTGATACATAGAATAAGGGGGGGACGTACAATTAAAGGTTAATTCCAGATAATAAAATAGTGTTAAATTATAAATGAATGAAAGTTAGATCCTGTGTGTTCAATCCAATATAGCATCAATGAAGTTGTTGTGTAACATTCAGTTAGTAGAGCTGGCGACCCATATACAGAGTTGCTGCAGCGGCCCAGGTTCTAATCCGACCTGTGGCCCTTCGCAGTGTGTCATCCCCCCTCTCTCTACCCACCTTTCCTGTCTATCTTTGGCTGTCCCGGTTGTTTTTAAAGTGCTTAACAAATAAAGTTGGGTTGGATTGGATAATAAAGGCATGAAAAAAAAAAAAAAAACTTAAAAAAAACCCCCAACATTCCCTAATAGAAGTTGGTGGCTTCAAATGATGCATTCTGGCTATAGGAAAAGGGATATTTTACAAGTAAACACTAAATGGACAAAGACATAAGGAAATATCAGTTAATCTAAGATATGTGTGCATTTTACATATGGGTTAGGGTTAGGGTTAGGTTTAGGTTACGTTGAACATGATTTTAAATCAAACTGAATAATGGATCCAAGGGTAGGGTTGCCAAAGCTGTCCATGGCACACACACATACGCTATAACCACAACAGAATTAAAAGAACATAGAGCAACAGAATGTTACAGATATAAAATCAAGTACAAAAT